GCATTGTTTCTTTTCTGTGCTATTTGACAGTGCCTGCATATGAGCTATGTAGTGATTTACAGATCACAGTCTGTCTCTGTCCTACAGAAATGACAGACCTTTCAGCTGCACAAGGTCTTTTAGGTATACCAGCATGTGCATGTTTACGCACAAAATAAATAAGTGAGAGCAAAGGAACAGCTGCTGGTGGGTTATGGAAAGAGGGGTAATATCACAACACACTAAAATGAGGTGGGGGGAAAGAATAAAGCCACATTTCACACTGCTGCAGTGACAAGATCCAGCTCCTAAAGGTGCCTTTAGTCGAGGTACTATATACTTGGTGTATATATAGCAGCTCCTCCGTGCACTGCATGGCAGTCTCCCGTGTTTGCACTTGACGCCTCCTCCAGCTGTGGACGCCAGCCAGGAGCAGAGCCCAACCTGAGCGCTGCAGAGGCCACGGCACGTGCCAGGTGCCACGCGCGCCAGAGCGCGGCTGCAGCCACGGCAGCATTCCCGCTCTATCTGCACCGCTCCTCCTGTCCCAGAGCCTCCCAAGCCTGCCTGCCTGCCTTCGGGGGACACGATTCCATCTCGAGCTAGATAAGCAAGCCAAGGGCAGCAAAGCTGCCTTAAACTTGCCTGCAGAACCGGGCTAAGAGTTTCACTGCTTCAGTCACAGCAAAGGAAGCTAGCTGCTGGAATTTAAAAACACTGGATGATTTAAGTGAGCCCACTTCCCACAGTAGAAGCTTTTAGGTATTTCCTCCCCTTGCAGGAGACAGGCATAAATGATTACAAAGTAAATAAAACATACATCAAAGTCACATAAGGAAGGAAAAAATTAAGATCAAGGCAACCCTAGGAAGACTTTTTCTTTTTTCCTCCCTTTTAGTTTCAAGTTCACGTATCAAAACGTCACTTTTCTAATCACATCAGTCGGAAAAGTACCCATTCACATTAACACGGATTAATTTACAAGCTAGGTAAGCACACACTCAGTGAGATGGACTGAAAACTGGCTGAATGGCAGAGCTCAGAGGGTTGCAGTCAGGGGCACGAAGTCTCACCAAGTGGGGGCCCACAACAAGCAACACAGCCCAAACGCAAGGGCTCAGCGCTGGGTGACTTGTCCTTCAACGACCTGGGTGAAGGGACAGAGTCTCCTCCACAGGTCTACACACGATACAAGGCAGAGAGGAGCAGCTCCTGCACCCGAGGGCCGTGCTACCGTTCACAGGACCCCGTCCCTGTGGAGGAACGGCCCCTGGCACCAGGACAGGCGGCTGGAGAGCAGCTCTGCTGAGAAGGAACTGGGGCTTTCGGCACACAGCATGTTAGCCAGGGGCCAGCAAGGGGCCCCTGCAGCCAGCAAGGGGTGAAGGGGGGTGACCCCTCCCCTCTGCTGAGCCCTGGGGTGGCCACATCCAGAGAGCTGTGTCCATTTCCAGGATGTCCAGGACAAGCAGCTTCTGGAGGGCGTTCAGCAAAGGGCTACCAGCTGATTATTTGCAAAGGCCCCTTCCAACCATTCTGCAAATTTCCTTCACATTAATCAAGACCCCTAAGTTCATTCTCCAAAGAGAGAAGCTCTTTGGAGCACACCTATTGTCTTTCAGTTCCTTCTTCGACACTTTCCCCCCTTTTAGGAGGCTGTCATCTTAATTTTAATTTATCTACGTAATAAATAGCTGCACTGAGTTATTCACCATTTTCACTAAAAACAGCACAACAAATGGCTATTCAATATCTATCACATTTCAAAGCTCACTATTGCCAAGTTTACAGTGTTGTCATGCAAGATTAGGCAGCTAAATTCACGTTCTCACTCACAGCACTGTATCCTTTAGTGGAACCCTAGTCAAATGCACCTTTTTAAAATAATAATACTGCTTAGGTTACTGCAATTGATCCTGACATCCTGACACTCCATATTGGCCATATGAACATTTTGTGTAATATACTTTAAGACAAAGCTGAGTTCATTTCTCCTCAAAGCTTCCCAATAGACCATACAATCAAGAAACACCTGTTCTCAAATGAAATCCGAGAGCCTGTTGTTAAATTAACCCCTCTAATTACAATCGGCATTTTTCAGTATTTCACCTATAGGCAACTACCTACTGAAATGAAATACATTTAATAACACCGGCAAGTGCAGAAGCCCTTTGTCACATCAGAGAACAGAGGACTTCATGGTGCCCAAGTGCGAGAAACACAAATTTAAAAAACAACCCCCTCACCACCCCCAACACACACACGCACTTCTAGGCGGTACAACTGAAAAGCCTCAGACATGCACTGTACTGAATCAGGCTTCAGGACTGATTTCAAATTACTCCTGCTCCTTGATGCATAGACAAGCTAGAACACAGCAGCAAACAAGAGCTGATAGTTATTTTTGACCTAAAGTCTCAAAACAAGTAGGCAGTTTTACACCAATCTAGTCATTTAAAAACTGTATTAGTCTATTTTTCCTCTACATGCAAATTACGGGGCAGTCCAGGCCACTGGGAAAAGCCATGTGTCACAAAAAGTATTTTTGTAGAGCAGTGAGGAATACCCTAACTTGTGTGGCTGGATCACAGCCACTTCTATGGTTTTAGGAATAGTTCAGCAAGTCTGAGTTGATCTGTCTCCCAGCTACACCATCATGATTATAATTGCACCTCGGATTCTTAAACAGTTCCATAACCCAGTAAAGAAATATCTCAGTGGAAAACTATTTGACCATATCCTTTTTAAGTAGATATTAAATATTTAATACTCTGAGGTCAATGTCTTTTCTTGAGATATATTTCAGGAGAGAAAACTAACGTGCATGACTAATGACCAATGGCCACTTCTGCTCAAACTGCTGCTCGGGTCAGATCCTTCAGCCTGTCAGGGAGTCTGTCTTTATTATCTCGCCTGGGAGCCTTACACAGGGCGTGCTGTTGCTAAAACAATCAGCCACACTCACGCCTTCAGAGTTCCCCAGTTTTCTTGATATGCTAAAACACTGTCTCTCCAAAAATAAAGTAGCCCCAGAGTCACCTTAGTGCTCTCTTCTCTCCCTATTCCACGGAGATTAGGCAATCCTTTTTAAAACAGATGCAATAAATCCAGCCTACGTTTATGCCATTTTACATGATTACAAGTCCAGATCACCAAATCCTACTGAGACAGCTTGCAGGAAATTACTGCAATAGAGATGTTACTTGTTTTCTATTCACTGCGGCAAGTTAGTCTACTTAAACCTATGAAGTCCGGAGATCACTGCTAGGGCAGCCAAGGGAATGCAATACAGAAGCAGAGGCAGGTTTTCAAGACAGTTACATAAAGTCATTATAATTAGATATCGATGCTACTTTCTTCTGCTGTTTGGGACTTGTCAGAGATATTAGATGTTGCAACCATTTTGCTACAGGCACTTGATCACAGGTGTTTTAGATGTTGATCATAGATCTGCCAAAGAGATAAGGATTTCAGAAAAAAATGCACTTTTGAAGCAGATGCATACTAAGTATATGAACCTGCATAACAAATTTGCATCAGTTTAGTTCTATGTATGCGCACAGAACAGTATTTCATTTTAACAGTCTTGTGCCAGGAAATACAGATTCACGAGCTACATTAGCAAACAAAGGGATCAACCTGTGACATTCAGACACTGAAATAAACAGTTGGAACATCAGCATTTACCAGAGAGCATTTATCACTTAATGCATAAAAGCTATGTATCAATAGGCCTAGTTGTAAAAGGCTGTGTGTGTTTTCCTTACAACTCATCTCGTTAGAAAACGAGGCACACACTTGTCCCATTTTAAAGCACCTGCGCATTGCTGTTCGAGTGTGGGAATGGAAACCATGGAAGCAATATTTCCTTCAAATCAGCTGCTGAATTCCACACCCCTAAGAGCACAGCTGAGAAGCATTCAGACCAGCACCTAAAAAAGTGACTTCCATCTCCTTCAGCACCCCAGCATATCTAGCATATTTCTGCCAACTCCAGAGCCGAGCGCCACTCCTGCGCTTTTTGACACTGGCGTCATTAATAAAAGGAGAAGAGCTGACCCGACCACTCCCACGCTCCCTGCTGAATAAAGAGCAGCACTTATCTAGCATGCTCCTTTCCTTCCCACCGCGCCACTGACACCTCTATTTCACACTCAGCGCCACTCACGAGGCACAAGAAACTCTGCAGTTTTTCCACGTGCTAAAGCTCTCAGGTCTCAGGGTTCAGGTAAGACATGCACTGCTAAGGCAACCAAGCAAGGGGATGTCCTTGCTTCCCACTCCGCATCCTCTGCCTCATCTTTGACAGCACGAGGCCCTGGGAGTGTTTGAACACAGGGCTGGACATTAAACAATTTTGCCTCTTCTTAGAGAGTTAAGAAAACAAGCAGGTCCCTGAGAGTACAACAGGTACCCTTCATGGAGCAACTACAGTGCCACACAAAGTATTTCTAAACCACTAAAAAACAGCTGAGTGCTGCGTAATTACGATGTAGGAGCTAGTTTTTCTACCTATGCTCCTCAAAATGCACACCGCAAGTGTAACGGGACTGCCCTTACGGAAGCTTCTGTGCCTTTCCCCTCGAGACCTTGGCGGGCTCGTTTCAAAAGCTGTGCCCCGCACTGCCTGCACTCCCTTGGGGCACGGCAGCAGGGGAAGGGGAGCGCAGGGCCGTGCCGGCGGGAAGGCAGCGCTCCCGGCCACGAGCTCGTGCGCCCCGCGCCCGGGGTGATTTATCTCTGAAGTTAGGCTGGGAGGATCTCCCCTCAAGAAGCCCGCCTTGCTCTCGGCACCGGTATTAGGGGGAAAAAATAATAATAAGGGGAAAATAAAAAGCACCACGGCAAACACGCTAAGCCACGAGGCTCGGAGCGCGGCCAAGCCAGAGCTCTGGCCCGGGGGTCCCCCCGCCGCCCCAACGGCCGCCCCAACGGCCGCGCCCCCTCCCCCCACGCGCCGCCAACGGCCGCGCCAACGGCCGCGCCGCGCGCCCAACGGCCGCCGCGCCGCGCGCGCTCACCCGCGTAGAAGCGGATGAGGCAGCCGGTCTCGGCGTCCATGCCCTCCTCCTGGAGCCGCCACAGGTCCCGGAAGCCCAGCTGGGAGAGGTAGTCGTTCTGGAGCTGCAGCGGCTTCTCGTGCGCCTCCAGCCGCCGGCTCGTCTCGCCGTGCAGCTGCACGTAGAGCGCGGGCGGCCCCGGC